TTTTCAGTTTCTTTGTTCCTCATTGGTGCCTTATGAATTAGCTCCAATTCTGCACATAATTCCCTGAAATATTAAAAACAAATGTTCAGGGCTTTTTGGGTATATCAGACTGGCAAAAATCTCGACATTCAAAAAGTAGGAACAAAGAGCTAGAGAAAACTTTTCACTTTTGACTACCATCTTGCACTTTTTCCCCTACAAAATATGGTATGCCTAGAGATATTCACAATAGCATCTATCACCCAGAATACAATTTCAGAGGATTTAAGTCAGGGCCCAGAGTTATAACCGAACAAAAAAATAATGTTTAAGCATAACTAAACAAATAGATCCCAGGATGTAATGCTGAAAAAAGGGAGACCCAAATTTCAAATTTGCCTAAGTATAATTCTTTTTGGCCTAAGATCCATTTTCCTTTAATTCATGTTAAAAACAAAGAATGTGTACTTAACACTTGAATTGCCTTGAATTTTCTTAATGGTATCCTAAAGTTATACTGGCAATGGCACCCACTTCCAAAATCTTGTAAGAAGATCTTCAGGGATTAGTCCAGGCAGTCATCAGGGGTCAACACTGACTTACACACACACACACACACACACACACACACACACACACACACACACATGTTATACAGCTGTCACTACTGTATAAATTACAGAAGATAGCAATCCAGTTAGTGATGCCATTTTATTTGACTTCTATACACTGTATTTTGTGCGTACAACTTCACACATGTAACTCAACCAATGGCAACAATTATTGAGAACTGAGACTCTAAAAGAAGAGAAAGGTCTAACTCACTGGACATAGAATTTGCTGTAGCAAATTTGAAGAAGATTAAAGCTTCTTCAAATTTGAATCCACAAAATCCACCATAAACATGCCAAGAAAACATAATCAAGTACATTTGGTCACACTTAAAATAAATTGCAACATGGCAGAGAAACATATCATGATTTGTATCTTAGATATTTCTTGGAGTCTTTAGAAGTAGACCCATATAGTACTTGATATCTGAATCAGCCATAATCATGAAATATATTTTAATTTACTTTGGGATGAGCAATAAATGTATAGTTATTTGTAATGATCCTTGGATGGAAAAGTTAACACAATAGATTCAATATAGGTATTCAACCTATAATCTCTTTTTGGCATCCTGTCAATCTGTAAAATTCTGACCAAACTGACTCTTTATCCTTGAAAGTTTTGGTCGGGGTGCTCTTCATTTTAAGGATGGTCAACCTTTTTATGTGAAAGGGAGAACTGAAGTGGATATGACAATGGTGAAAAGAATCATGTTATACACATGAGCAGAGCCAGAGTGAACTCCCCCCCCCTTTAGTGGGAGTTGAAATGGTTAACTCATATCAACCCACAGAGAGTAAGAAAGATGACCTTGATGGTGATGCAGTCTGCAGTAACTGCAATCCAGGAAAAAAAAGCAAATGCATTTTTAAAATCCAGACTGAGATAATATTCAGAAGTGCCTGAGACCGAGATCACTTTAATCAAAGAAGTATAAGAGGAGGAGCAGATATAGCACAATCGGATTCGCAAGAATCTGTTATTATAGCCAAGCTCAATAAAAGTATCTTTAGCTTTACAGAGGAGTTGATTTCCTGATCTTGTTGGACTTTGGACTCCATTGTTTGTGTGTGTTTTTTGCTTCAAGATAGCAGAAAAGTATGCTGCTGATCTGAAGCATTTGAAGAAAGTTTGGGAACTACAAAGAAAGATGTAATGGTCATGTACGACAATTTTTGTACAAGGAATATTTTCCCGTTGGCTTCAGTGGTAAAGGAATAAAAAAATAGCAAGACGGCATTTAGGATGGTGTGATAAAAGCCTTTTCTTTCATGAATACAATGCATATACAAAAAAAGTGGGTTTTATGCTTCTGTAACTGCCATCTTACCTTTCTTGACAGCCCCATGTTGTGGACACGTGACTCTTGTACTTACAGAAATAAAGTTCCAAACTTTAGCCTTAGCAGAAAAAAGGCAAAAGAACTGGTCACATCCCACTCATGTTGGAAGCATCTAGGTGCTTCTGGGATGAAAGGATTAGCTAGAGACATCATCATTGTTTAGGAGATGCCCGGTTTGATGCCCCTTTCATTTCACTGGCAGAGCTGGAGCGAAGGATGGGAGCTCACCACATCCCATGACAGCACATGGATCTCAAACATAGGCTAGCTAATTTCCAACCTAGTATCCTAACCCCAGAGCCACTATGCTCCTTAGAAGAACTTGTAAGAAATAGCAATAATTTTATTCAAAATAGGGTTTCAAGATTTAAAAAAGATATGTAATTTGGAATTCAGGTGGAATCTGAATCACTAGAAGACTTGATGGCAGACAAGAGGGGGAATTATATGCTAAACAAAAAATAAAATAAAATAATTAAGATAGGGCACTTGTGGGAAGCTTAAAAAGGACAATTATGACTGCATAATTCTCAAATATCTGCTTTTTTAAAATGTGTATTGGGTGTCATTCCATGTCTGTAGCCGCCATTTGGAATTTTGCACTTCTCCTGCTCCATATTTTGGCAAAATGTGATGAAAACAACCAATACAACAGACCTAGCAGACAATAGAACCATGTAAACTTTCCACTAGTTTTAGCAACAAATCTAGACAATATAGAAAAGGGAAGCAACTTTAGTTCCAATGCAGATTCAAATGTACTGTTGAGAAAACTTGTTTCCTTTTTTCACAGCTATTCATATATCTCCTCTGATACTTCCCTTGCCAGATTTCTTCTTTTCTTCTCCTTTTTTATTTGATTTCCATCACAAAGCAAGGCCATCAACATAGCCTCTATAACGCAAGCTTTTCAGTAGATGTAGGACAATTAATTGAAAAGTATTTTTGATGATTTTTCTCTGCCTTTTAAGCAGGAGTGAAATTCAGCAGGTTCTGACAGGTTCTGGAGAGCCGGTAGCAGAAATTTTGAGTAGTTCGGAAAACTAGCAAATACCACCTCTGTTTGTTTGTTTGTTTTTATTGGATTTATATACCGCCCTACTCCCGAAGGATTCAGGGTGGTGAACAGCCACAGAATAAAACACATAAATACAAAAAATTTAAAATAGAATAAAAATGAATTAAATAATTTGGCTGAGACAAATTTAAAATACCCAATAATTTAAAAACAAATTAAAATTTACATTTAAAAGGGGAAAAGATTTAGGCCAGGCCAGCTTGATGAAATAAGAAAATCTTGGGGTGGGGTGGGAATGGAGATTTTGCAATATCCTTCTCCTGGAGTGGGATGGGAATGGAGATTTTGTAGTATCCTTCCCCTGGAGTGGGGTGGGAATGGAGACTTTGCAGTATCCTTCCCCTGCCACGCCCACAGAACTGGTAGGGAAAAATTTTGAATTTCACTCCTGTTTTTAAGTACCCAGTTTATTAGACTTACATTCATTTTCATATAACCAAATTTATTTATTTTTTTATTTTATTTTAAATTTGTATACCGCCCTTCTCCCTGAGGACTCAGGGCGGTGAACAGCCAAGTAAAAACATCAAGTACAAATATTAAAATACAATTAAAAATATATATAAATTTGGCCCCATTAATTAAAATGATCTGCAGTTTATGTATTATTGAGAGAAAACAGAAACAACATATACTTTTTTATTCACTGTCAGAAAGGAAACCCATATTTAATATTTTCAGCTTCCCTGTAATAGAAAATAAAGAATCCTAAATCCCAGCTTTTTGGATGAAAAAAATTGCTGTAGCTGATTAAATTTGTCATCCATAAGCAAATAAACTAAAGCTTCGCTCTACAAACTTACCATTTAAGCTAATGAAGGTTGAAAACTGATGAACCTGGAAGCAAATTCATTCAACACAGTGCGAGTTACTTATGAGTAAACAAGCATGGGCAGAGTTTGTAAGAGTAGCAAGAAGTTTAATTGCAAGCCCAAAATGTAAAATCTAAAAGTATGTGTTGCCGATTTAGAACGGCATTCATTACAATGCACTCTCTGTCTTAGTCCCTTTGTAATTCAGTAAGTGTTGTATCCTCTTTGTATTCCTCTGCTTCCCGACCACAGTGATGAATACACACACATTCATTTTTTGACAGAGGCTGGGATTGGTTGGCTTCCTCTGTCTTACCTAGTGCCTTTGCCATTCCAATTCTCTGCTTTCTATAATGCAATTTCAGTGCTCAAATGTTTCTTGATTAGATTGCACCTGTATAATGTTCCATTTGGAGAAACAGTTCACGTATTTCCTAATGTATGCCCTAGGTAACTTTTTTTTTTTTTAACATTGACTCCGCTCAGCATCTCTTTCAAGGTAAAGGCACAAGGAAGAAAGGAGACAGTTTTAAGAATTTGCCGAATTTCACAGGCAATGCAGTATCCATTGTCCCAAAGGTGCTTTTTCAGGAGGCAACTGGTCTGTCTTGTTTTTTGTTTGAAGACATTTCGCTTTTCATCCAAGAAGCTTCTTTGATGAGAAGCGAAACATCTTCAAAGAAAAAACAAGAAAGTCCAGTTGCCTCCTGAAAAAGCACTTTTGGGACAACCATGTTCTGGATGACTGAGAATCTCTACAGACTTGCAGTATCCATTCTAAAGAATGCTGGAATGTCACTCATAAATGGGTTAACTGATCCAGTTTTCTAAGGAAATCGCTGATCTCTTGTCATGTCTTTCCACAATATTTTGGTAGAAATTATATTTTTTCATTATCTTTTTACGAAAATATAATGATCTCAGTTACTAAGAATATTTAATGCTTCTAGTATCATCAATTTTAATTAAAAGTTTGTTTTGTGCTTAAACTAACCTTTTGCCTTTGAGATATTATAATTACAGACTTTGCACCAAGAGAAAAAAAGTATATTTCAATTGTTGGTTGCTAGAACAACCTATTGTACCCTTTGAAGAAAATTTTCCACTTGAAATTCTTTAATCTACCAAGAGCCTAAGATGACCCTCTTAACTCAAAAATGAGAGAAATCAATTTTACCTTTCATGGAGTTGCACCAGCAACCTGTGTAAAAATAAAAATTTATTACGTTGAAGTGACACTTTGTGAAATGAGACCTTTTAACTTGTCAAATGCAAACTCTTAATTAATATCTATTATTATTATTATTATTATTAATAATAATAATAATGATAATAATAATAATTACAATTATTAAACTTATAATTGTACTCATAAAAATATAATAATTATCAACACTTATACTAATGATTTGCCTTGAGGGGGATATCAGAATATTTTCCTAAAAGGATAACTCCACAGCCATTTTTTAATGCCTCAACTTAAGTTGTACAGCTGGTTTTTCATGGAAAGCAGGCACTTTTTCCCACATTCTGATAAGAAATGTATGACAACACAGCATGCTAACTTAGTTGTGATATCTAGCAACAACCAGGCTTAGATAACAACACAGGCAAAAGTCACAGGGATGGGTGGAATAAGTTAGAATTTTAGCCGTGAGTTTGAATGGCCTCTTCCAGGGAAACACTTTAAAGTTGTCTCCCTGGATAGCTTTGCTTACAAATCTTTCTGAGAGCAGAAACTCCATTTGAAACGCAATATAAGGAAAACATGTAACATCTATGGTAGTGTTTCCCTAACTGTGCTGAAACATGGGTAAGATCTTTTTTTTCTTTTATTGGCGTGGAATTAAAATCTAAGGGTTAGAATCTTTTGACTAGTATGCGGTATCAGAACTTGCTTTTAGCTACACTATGTATAGTTATTGTTATTTTGCTCTTTTGAAGTTTCCGTGGTTCCTTCTGTCAGGTTTTCATTTAATAAGCAGTAAAAATTAATTCTGTTCTCTGTCATGAATCTTATGACGTTTCTTGAATGGGTCTTAGCTATCTATCCCTTATCTCTAAGAAATAAATACAGCCCAAAGTGAATTTAACACAAAGCTTCTGTACTTGACGCAATTGTGAGCTGTGTGGCTTCCCTAAGGGATACTCTGTTCCTTAAAAATCATCCACAAAAGGTGGAGGATTAGGACCTGGAGTGTCGTAAATCCCTTTTAACCTGACAAATTGGTCAAAATTCTATTATGTAATTCCACAATTCTTTTTTCAAGGTCTGTGTTGAGGGAAATATTGGATTTTCTAGTAAAGCCATTTAAAGACAGACATCTACTGCTTTCAAATTTCTTGGAATTCTGTATCTATCATTGTTGTCACAGAGCCATGAGTGTGGAACTCCAAAAACTCAGACAACACCTGGTTGGCTGTATCTGCTGTAGTGAGATATGGTATTATTCTCTGTTGGAAGGCAAACAAAAAACAAAAGCACCCCTCTATGACACCCTGCTAACTAGACCACACACTAACCCTTTTCTCACATTCAGGGGTGGGTTCTATTTACCTTTACTACCGGTTTGCAACGGGCCGCATGCTCTTCTGTGCAAGCGCAGAAGCATTTTGATGACGTCAGGGTTGGTGGGCGGAGCCTCCCGCCGGTTTTACTACCAGTTCTATAGAATTGATGCAAACTGGGGGCAACCCACCACTGCTCACATTCCATAGGCAAAAGCCTTCCCAGGCCACATGGACAGTTACAAAAACCACTTAAAACCTTTTAAAGCTGAAATTGACAAAGAACAGTCAGACAGTACCAGCAAATCAATCAGGAAGCAAGATCCCATAAATCACAATATGGAAACCTAAATCACAACATCCAACCCCAGATCTTTGACATCATACCCCTCAAAAAATTCCACAGCTAGAGAAGATTACAGACTTAGAAAAGTAGAAACCTTTTCACATGATCCCCAGGGCAAAAACACTTCAGATCAACACACCCCTCAATAAGACTATAGATGTCATTGTTCTCAGTTTTCTGATTTTATGGCCACCTTCAGGACCTGTACAGTTCACTATGCTATCAAATAAACTATCCTCCATATCAAGCAAGTTTCCCAGAGTGTTTATATTCATGACCCAGCTTGGAAAACGAACCAACAGAATTTTCTTCTAATGCCTCTAAAGTCATTACCTTAATAAAGAGATTTTTTTAAAAAAAATACTTTTATTAAGGTAATTGTATAAGCAGAGGCATAGAATCAAGATCACGTGAAACATTAGTACTGCTTTATAAAACCCTAGTAAGACCACACCTGGAATACTGCAACCAATTTTGTTCACCATACTACAAAAAAGATGTTGAGACTTTGGAAAAAGTTCAGAGAAGAGCAACTAAGAGGATCAAAGACCTGGAGACTAAACTATATGAAGAATGGCTGCAGGTTTTGGATTTGGCTAATTTAAAGAAAAGAAGAATTAGGGGGTGACATGATAGCAGTATTCCAGCATCTGAGGGGCTGCCACAAAGAAGAGGGGGTTAAATTGTTCTCCAAAGCAATCAAGGGCAGGACAAGAAAAAATGGTTGGAAACTAATCAAAGAGACAAGCAACCTGGAATTAAGGAGAAAAGTGAGTGAGGACTCACTAACAGTGAGGGCAATTAACCAGTGGAACAGCTTGTCTTCAGAAGTTATGGGTGTTTCATCACTGGAGGTTCTTAAGAAGAGACTAGACAGTCACTTATCTGAAATGGTATAGGGTCTCCTTTCTGAGCAGAGAACTGGACTAGAAGACTTCCAAGGTTCCTTCCACGTCCTGTCCTGTCCTGTCCTGTCCTATCCTACCCTACCCTACCCTACCCTACCCTACCCTACCCTACCCTACCCTACCCTACCCTACCCTACCCTACCCTACTCTATTCTATTCTATTCTATTCTATTCTATTCTATTCTATTCTATTCTATTCTATTCTATGTAGATAAAGGAAGGATGATTTACTAAGATACCTGGAAAAACTTAGCAATCATAAGAGAAGAGGATTTCTTTTTTTTTTTTTTAACAAAATGTAAGTGGTTAAAAATAAATGAAAACTCTTACTTTAAAGAAACTGAGCCAAATTGAGTGGAGAATTATAAACCGGTGCTTCTTTATTAGAAATACAGTAATCACTAGGCTCCCAGCAAGAGCTAGAGCTCTGTTGCCAAAAGGTTCAAACAGAGTAATTGAATAATTAGTTTACAGCCATAGGTAAAGAATACAATGACATCAAAGGAACTTGGCCGATGTCTTCTTGTCTGCTGTACGAAAGTGATCAGCATGCCAGCATCAGCATGCCAAGTCATAAGGGACATTGTTTTACTTTGCTATGATAATAGGGTGATTTTCTTCATACCCCAAAGGGGGGGAGGTGGCAAATTATTGAATTTTACTATCTATTTCCTTGAAATGATTGCAATTACTAGAATAAGTGCTTACAAATCGGAATGTCTACCGGGTCAAGGAGGCTGTTATGTCACATGGAGTGTAGGTACTAAGAAAGATTTATGTTAGTCTCAGCTGACCTTACACTTTCGGAAGGCTAATGATATATAGCAGGGCTGTTTCAAGGAGGAAGAGAAGAAAGAACAGAAAGAAGAGAGTAGGAATAAGTGGTGATTCCTCACAATGGAAAGGAATGAACAGTGAGTGCCCCAATTGTTAAGTCCCCGCCGGCACGACCGCTCTCGAACAGGCTGTGTCGTCAGCAGGTTCGGATTGGCGGAGACGCGCAGCAACTAAAGTAGCGGGAATTGCCTGGGTCTTAATTGGTTGCCGCTGTCTGACAGCTCGCTATTTAAGGAGCTGTCAGGACGCGCGTTCGCGTTCTGTTCTTTTTCCACTTGTTGTGTTGCTCTTTCTGGTTAATAAAGTTTATGACTTGAAAGGCCTGGCTTCCGAGTCATCCCTATAGACACAACACCAATGATCTGTATTGGTAGTGAGCTTTTTAATCATTGATCTGGAAACAGGAGCAAGGGCTTATCTAAGTTAGTTGACAAAACCTAATAGGTTAGGATAATGAAAATGTCCAATAATTAGGAGGGTGAGAATACGCCTGTTTTTAAAAAATTACAGAAAAGGAAATTCTTATTCATAATACCTACCTCTGGGCAATCTGATGAATTTGAACTACGTCAGATTTAAGAAAGTCTGAAGGAAGTACTTCTTGAGAGAATGCTTACTTGAACTTGGGAATTTGTTGCAGGAAAAGGTAGTAAGGTCTCTAGCTTGAGCAACTTTTAAAGGTCATCACATATCCATAGAGAATGAACAATTAATGGCTAGTAGTCGTGATCATTAAATTCTGCCTTCTGGAACAAAAGCAGCACGCCTCCAAATACTAATTATGGGTGAGCAAAACTAGAAATAGGCCACTTTGCTGTCCTCCTGCTTGCTGGTTTAGCATTGGCATCTGGTTGGTTCCCATGGAAACCAAATGCTAGAATAGATAGGTCTCTGGCCTGATCCAGCACAACAATTCTATAGCCTTAGGTTTTTAATGTGTTTCATATTAGGATCTCATGAGCTTTTGGGTAAAGATTCTTCAAAAGGATTCACACACCCCTATATAGTTTTTTTTTTTTCCCAGCTGGTCTTAAGAACAAGACATTCAGATCCTCAAAAGGTTTTGAGCTGTGCCTTCTGACTAGCTCAGGTGTTCATTTACTTTTTACTTCTTACTACTTCATAATTTCAAGATTCCTCAAAGAAAATGTGTTTTTATTTGTGGTTGACAATAATTAGAGCAAAATATGAAGGAATTGCCTTAGGAGGGTTATAGAGGTCAGAAAACTTCAAGACCTTTTTTAATGTTCTCCATTTGTCCAGTTTCCATGGAAGGCAGGTCCCTGGTTGAAGCTCCCTGGCTCACACCTTTCTACTAGGTGCATATTTGTGAAAGAAATTGAGGATTTAAAGGTTTGAATTGTAGCAATCATAAGGAATCCCTTTGAGAAGTAGCAGGGAGAGTCACTCCAAGACAATGATCAGACAAGCGAGACTTGAGCCCTTTCCAATAAACCAATTTGAGAAAACATGAATCATTTATTCAAGTACATATGCAGAACTTATTTATATGTATATGCAGTGGTGAATACACTGTGTGCTCTGTATTATCACCTTCCTCCTTCTCTCCCTTACTTTTCTTTCCTCTTGAGAGTGTACTCAATAAA